AAGTTGCTTTTTGTGCACAAGTGAGAATAGGCAAAAGGATATTAATGTAAGCATTTGTAAGACAGGGAGTTTTGATGGCATGTACCCTGGCATAGCAGCAGTAGCAGTGTATGTCTAGCATGAATGATAGTTCTTCTTTAATTGTGGCCTTTGAACAAAACTTCTCACACACAAAAAAATTACTGGAAATATCAGGACTGTAGAGATACAATTAAAAATCCTCCAGTTGCTACTGAAAACACAACAGGAGGAGAGTTGCTTTGAAAAGGCTGTCAGTGAACATGAGATATTCATCTCCCCTGGTACTTTCCTTAGACAAGCTACAGCAAGCAGCTCACACTCCTCATTGTCAAAGTACATTTCTTCTGTGCTTTTGTGCACAGAGTGTTATGCACAGACTTAGAAAAAAACATGCAGAAATCCCAATCTCTGCATGCCTCATATTCCCTTTCTACCTTTACCCAGAGAGAGTGTAGTTTCCTGCGATGACAAGACTGGAAGGGATGTGGACTGGAGGCTCATAATGGGTGTCAGATGTGATCCTGGAGTGAGAGCCAGGACAGTGGCAACCAAGAGCAAAGCATCTTCCAGGAAGGCTATAGAAATGCTATGCTTTGCTGGACAGTACAAGTTTGCAAGCAGTACAGCACCCCTCCTGCTCTGCCTGGCCTAGCACTGAGGAGCTGCAGAGATGCTTAGAGGTGAGGATGTGGAAGGTGAGCAGTGACTGTTGGCAGAGAACAGGCAGCACTGCGTTGGCATGGAGCAAGCTGCCTCCTGTGAGCAGCCTTGGACCTCTCCCACAGGCAGCATAGGGATGACCAGGGCAATAAATTCATGTGAATATGTGATTTCACTATATAGATAAGGTCAAGGCTAGAGAAAACAAATAAGCAAATAACAGAAAAGGAGATCCTACAGAAATCACATTATTTTTAGCATGGTCTGTTGGGTTTTTATTTCTTGTCACAAATGTGACAACAGTTATTGGCTTCACAGAATCACAAAATCATGGAATTACTGAATCACCAGGGTTGGAAAGTACTTACAAGATCATCCAGTCCAACTGTCCTCATAGCACCAATAGTTTTCACTAAACTGTGTCCCTCAGTACAACATCTATATGGTTCTTGAACACCTCCAGGGTTGGTGACTCCACCACCTCCCTGGACAGCCCATTCCAGTGCCTGTCCGCTCTTATAGAGAAGTAGTATTTCCTGACATCCAACCTGAAACTCCCTTGGTGCAGCTTGAGGCCATTCCCTCTCATCCTATCACTAGTTACATGAGAGAATAGGCTGACCCCCAATTCACTACAACCTCCCTTCAGGTTTTTATAGAGATATGTATATAGGTCTCCTTAATGAATATCAAAACAACAGAGTTGAACTGTACAGTTTTTTGCTATTTCTAATTTTGTTTTTCTTTTAATACAGCTGAGTGTTTGGCAGTAAAATTCAGACATGAGCTGCACTATTTTTTCCAGACAAGGTTGATAAAACATACAGGTCACTCCAAGAGTAATGCTTCTTATTTATTTCCATGGAAACTACAAGGGATACAAAAAGCACAACAACACTATTTGATAGATCAAATTCTCAACTACAGAATATTATTTTTCAACACAGTCACCACCACTTGCTTATGCATTTTTGCCAGCAATGAACAAGAACCTGCATATCGCACTCAAAAAAATCTGTACCAGCAGAGGTGACCCAGTTTCACAGCTGTTACAATGACATTATTACTAGGAAAATGTTGCCCATGCAGTACATCTTTCATTGGCCTACACAGATGAAATTCAAAAGGCAACAGATCCAGATGATATGTTGAGTGTGGTAGGACAGTCCAACCAAGACTGCCAGTGTGCTCCACAGTCTTCAAACTGGCATGAAGTCTGGTGTTATCGTGCCGCAAAAGAATGGTTGTCTTCTCCTCTGAAAGTTTGAGCCTTTGGCTTAATCAGTGCTGTGACACAGCAGTCAGAGTTGATGGTTTATCTAGTTTCAAGGAAATCCAGAAGAATCACCCCTTTGCTATCCCAAAATACAGGGCACATCACTTTACTGGCTTAGGGCTGTGTCTCGAACTTTTTCTTCAGTGGGGAATTCACACATCATCATTCCATGGATTGCCATTTTGACTCCAGCTCATTGTGGTGACACTACATCTTGTCACTGGTAAATGATGTGACCTAGAAAACTGTCACCTTCAGCCTCACATTTGTTCTACAGGTCCTGACAAACTTTCTTACAGTGTTGTTTTTGTTCCTGTGCAAGTACCTGAGGGACCTACCTGTTGCAGATGTTGCAGTATTCCAACACTGAGACCATTGTTTCCAATGCATTGAAGCTCTGTTATTTAGCTCTGCACACAGTTCCATGCTCCTAATCTGCCATTTAATGTGGATGAGCTGATTGAGAAATTCTTCATTTCATGATGTGACAGCTGTGCATGGCCATCAGGAATGTGGCTTGTCTTTCAAGTCACTGTGACAACTGCTGTGATGACACCCACCTCCTCACTGTGCTTACACCCACTATTTGGTCTCCATAAACATTCAGCAAGCTTTGATGAATGTCAATAGGAACAATTTTTTTCCACGTGAAGGAATTCAATGACACATCTTTTCTTCATCTGCACTTCCACGTCAGATGCCATTCTATCAGATTGCCCTGCTGCTGCCATCTGTCACATGGCAACAAAATGTAACAATATTGGTGGGAAGGTCCATCCTGTACTACCATACCACTAACATCTGCCTTCGATGTTGTGGGTCAACATAACAAAATAGGAGGCTGAGCATGTACAGCTGTGTGGTAAGGCATATTTTACTGTGAATCCTATTTTCTATTCTTTGTTTTCAAATTTTACTGTACACAGTCCTTAAGCTTTGCATTAGTACTCTATGAAACTATTTGGACAGTCATTGACTCATTTTGCTGATGAAGAAGCCCAGGAAGGTGCAAGGAGCACTGCTGCTAAAAAGATAGAGATACCTGAATGTCATATCCTCTCCCCATCAGCACTGCTGCTTTTTCAGAAGAACTTAACAAAAATCAACCACCTCAAGTCCTGGACAGATGATGGACTGGGTAATGCATACGGCCAACCATTTGAAGTGTTTATTCATTTATGTGCCACTTATATACCAGGGATTGAAGAAAACATCCTTCCTCTGTTCCTCACAAACTAGGATTGATGTTCTTCGTACGTTTGTTTGGACTAGTGATTTCATAATGTACCACTAAAAAGGGAAGTTGGTTTATGAACACCTGAAATGGCTGTCACTGTAGTTTTCTTTCTTTTGCTTCCTCTGCAATAATATCCTCCAGGTAACCTTCAGAAGCTCCATGCTACTTCTTGAATATCTGCCCTCCATGTTAACCTCTTCTTTCTCCTCCTTTCTTATTCCTTACTTTTTCTCTACCCCTGGCTCCTGAAGACCTCATCTTGCTTTTTTTTTTTTTTTTTTCCCATTTTTTTTTTTTTTTTTTTTTTTTTTTCTTCTTGCCAAAATACTTCACCTAAACCTGGATTTTTGTAATTCATATTAATAACTGTAGTAGGAGGGTGAAGACACAAAGTGACTTACTATTTTCCTGAGCTGGCTCCCATTTGAAGGCACTGAAGTTCAGAGTGGTTTGACTATGCCTGTGCCAGAAGAAGAACAAAAAAATCAGTGATATCATCAGTAAAGAAATTAAAAACCTGTAGAACTCTCTTCTGTCATCTTTAACCCCTCATTCCCCAAGACCTACCTGTGGCAAAGCAAATCTTGAAGAGTGCAACATCTCAAATAATAGTGGCAGTTTCTGTCCTTGGGAGATTGCCAAAATTCTTGCTGCATTTCAAGAAATCTTGCTCAAGTTTGGGATCATGTTGCCTATGTCACTTTCAGTCTCAGCACTTCTTCAGCATGCTTAGCTGCCTTAAAGTTCTTTGAACCATCAGGTAATATTAGACACATGTATGCATATTTCAATGACTAGATACTGGAAATAAATTTTTTAGTAATCTTTAATAATTACAGAGAACTGTGCTTGGCTGGTATACCGGGTCTGTCAAACTGCTTGGAGGAATACAATATTTGAGGTTTCCACGTGAATCAGAGCGTATCCTGCAATGGGCTGTAGTGCTACAAGGCTCACCCAAGCACAGCCATTATTCTAGGAGCTGGGGTTGTTTTTCCTAAGTTCTTCAGTACTTCTCTGCAGTTTACAGCAATGGCCTGTAGCTGTCAGCTACATTTTAAAGCAATTTTCTTGTAAAATAGATGCTTTCCAGCTGCAGAGGAAGCCAGTCCTCATGTCTTCAGATCTGAATTTTGCAGTGATTTGGAACTGGCACTTGACAAGCTTTGTATCATTCTATCCAGGCTGGATACCTCTTAGATTTAAAGGCTCTCAAAACATTTTGACTTTGATACACTTATATCGATACTGTCCCCATCCCAGATGGCTCGCATATTAAAATAATCTTTTTAAGAGCTGAAATACTGAGCAGTCTGCAACCTCCTTGCTCTGGGTTTCCATACAGCTCTGGAAGGCTTCAGTACTGAGCAGTTGCTCTGCCTGCAGTGTCTCCTTGGTACTGCTGGGTGAGAGAGAAAGATCTGGAATCCCAAAGGACAGTGCAGCAAGCCATTGCTGGTTCAGTCCTCTTTGCTGCTGTGCTTCTTGCACTGCATCCATGAAAGTGAGGCGTAACACGCCTCTGTGACAAGACTGAGTGCTGAGTACTGCATGCCAAACCAACATCAGCTCTTCTTCACCGAGCAGCAGAACTTTCAGGTTTTCCATTTGTGTATGTGTATCTTAATTCATCTAACTCACCTCTTCTTTTTATACAGTGGCATGACACATCCTTCTTCCTATTGGCTGGATCAAAACTAGATCACACAAAAAGATGCTTTGGAGTAGCTCAGTATTCAGAGGAATTAAAGTCAAAAGAGATTTACTGGAAGGCACTCAGATGCCAAGAGGTATTAAATAGCAAGATTTTATCATGTATAATCATTTATTGAGCTGAGAATCCATACAAGGTAAACAAATGTTTACACTATCATACAGTAAGCATTTCCAGGGCTTAATAAAAATGATTGTCACTCACTGTGCTTCACAAAAAAATTCATTTTAATGAATAAATAATTTGATGAAATCAAAAAATATTTACAATATAAACAAATGAAAAAGCTTTGGATATATTAATCTGAGCATCCTGTATTTTGCATTTGTCTAACTGCATTTCTACCAAGATTCTCTCTCTGAAATGGTACAAAGTGGATAGAAATTACAACTCAAAAAAGTTAACATGATTTGGTACATGTCTTTCCATTAGTTCAAATAAGCTACATATGATTCATTTATTATGCACGTGTTAGAATGCAAATATAACTAAAATCATATATTATCAAAATGCCAGATAGCATCCTCCACAGAACAGAAATGTACACTAGGCCATGACAATAACTGAGAATCACAGGCGACAAAATATAACGAAGAGTACAAATTCCTTCATAAGAATATAATTGTGCTCTCTTATTTACCAGAGGACTATGCTGCTTCACCACATCGATGGCTACATATGAATACAGTGTTCAACGACCGCCATGTGGTTTGGTGTACGCTCATATGGGTGTCAAGCAGCGGCATTAATAGTGGAAAATGGGCAGTGCAAGCAGTTTTATAAACATCTCTTTGGGCTCTTAAAAAGAGCCAGTTATACAAAGCAGTAGAAGCATAACACTGAGAAGTCTTCATCTCATTGACACAGATATCATGAAACGACTTGCTTTGTTTGTGGTGGTGGAGGGAGGAACAGTGTCTGCGCTGTTTATGCCATCAGCCAGAATTCAAGTATTCCAAAGCCACTTCATAGCAGAATTTATATTGATCCTGAAAAATCAAGACAACCACAGAGTCAATTATTGAAGGAACTTAATTAAGGGGATCAATATTTCTCTTCTGTTAAAATTATTTACAATCAGCTGTGGTCTATGGGAGCCAGTTTGCAAATCAAATTTATATTCGGATAAGAAAATCTTTACATTAACCAGACAATAGACACTACGCACACAGTAATTTACAGTACTGCTCCTATTAGTCGTGTAGTTAGCTGCTCTAATACACTTGTATGAGAAAAATTGACTACACATAAGTAAATTGACTTGCAGCCCTTTAGTCATCTGTCAAAATGCTCACACAGCGCTTTGGCAGAAATGCAGTTATTGAAGTTCGTCCATGGAAATGCTGATCTTAAAACAGACCCAACGTCTGATGCTTTTCAGTGCATAACTCCTATTTTCAAACAATCATAAAATCATTTGGCCCTTAAGGGCCATCTAGACCAACTGCCTTACAATGAACAGGGACACACCTACAGCAGATCAGGTTGCTCAGAGCCCCATCAAGCCTGACCTTGCATGTCTCCAGAGATGGGGCATCCACCACCTCTCTGGGCAACCTGTCAGAGGTGGTGGATGTTCTGTCCCTAGAGACATACCAGCATCTGAGCATCAAAATACTCAGATGCTCACTACATGTCAATGTGAAGTCTGCTCATTGTTCCTCCTCCTCTAGAGGCTCAAACCCTCACTGAAGTACTGTGGTCCCTCAGTACAGTATGACAGGAGACCAGGACAGATCTGAATTAATTGGACCTATTCACATTCATTTTCAGTTACTGGTGATGTGTATTTTAGGGTCCTAACAGCTCTTCTGCTACCCAGTCTAAGTTTCCAGGTACCAGTCCTGCACTTTAAACACAGAATTGCTATTTCCTTTTGCAATGGCTGGGAAGCTGGTCCAGATCCAGGGAAATCCCAGTTCGCATCGTGAGACGAACAGTCATGACTTTATCCTCTTCACATCTTAAGTGGCACAAAGAGGTCAGTGCTTTTGACTGACTCTCACCCACAGGGCAACTTTGAGGGATGTGATACTTTGGGACTTAACAATTTTGTGCTCACACTCATCCCTCTTCCTACTCGGAATATTTAGAGATGCTACAGGTATTTAAGTGAAATAAAAATGCTGAAAGAAATAGGTGTGGGTTCTTTGAATGCAAGTGTGTTCTAACAATTCACAATCACCATTTTATGACTATTTCTGCCACCAAGATGCCTCTCCCTATCACACACTTTAATCAATTAAAAATTTAGCTGAGCATGTAGGGAGATTACAAGTACATTCCAGATCTATTCTCCTTTTTATCGAAGAAAACATTATAAAGGTTTAAATCTAATGGCCTGTACTCATTATTTTTGGGTCACTTCTTAGCTGAAAAGTGAGGCCAACTTAAAATTTAAGAGGCCAAACAATATCACCGTGATCAAAAAGCCAGAAAAAGACAGTGACAATTTAGAAGTCCTTTTGTTGGGAGCTGCCACTTTAAAAGAAAACAAACCCTAAGTTTGTTCTATGTTGTCTAAGTCATGAATGAAACTCATGTTAGGCTTTAAGACCCTGCAGGGTTCCATAAACTGCTCGTGTCTTCTTCAGGATGAGAAAAGATAAAAAAAGAAAGAAATATTATGCATTTTTTTTTTATATATTATGTACACTTATCCACTGCCATTTTTACACGCTTACTTTACGCTGATTTAGTGTGCTAGCAAAACTATCATTTTTATTAAACCTGTGTTAAAGAGTCATTTTTTATTATTTCCCACTGTGTTCACTCATGTGTGTCCTTAGTACATTTTTATTATTCATTTGATGACTAATATGAAAAGCTTATTTATGTTAGTTGGCTTCAGAGAGGAATACTGGTTTTTCTTTCTAGGATAACCACTGGTAGGTTCAATAACATTTCTAAGAAAATGGTTTGTACATGCTGTACATGCTGTAGCATGTACACGTCGCAACACCACGTATTGCCTTTCTATGTTGGCTGAACAATTTCATAGATTTTTCCACACTGAAAAGATGTGGCATTCAGATTTCTACACTTGCAGGAAAACCAATTGTTTCACTGAAATTAAGTGATGAATCTCGATGTATGGACTGCAAAGACCATCGTTCCTCTGATCATAAGGTACGTAACTGGTTTATATAAAGCAGTCTTGAAGCTGTTTTTGTCAAATACTGTTTCAACCTTGAACATTTCCTCTCTTGTAACAGCATTTTACAGAAGTAGATGAAATTACCGTTCTCATTTTTCAGACAGGCAAACTGAGGCAGAGACACATAATAAAGGTCAAAAAGGAGGAAATCAGTAACAGACTCAGGAATAGAACGGAAGTGTCCACGTTCCCTTTTTACAAGGGAAAAATCAATGTGAAAATTCTCTTGAACCTTGCTAATTCAAGTTGTACTAATTCTTTTTTGTCAGTGGATTAAGAGATAATGGAAAAAATCCTGATCGTCCCCTACCTTAGTTTCTCTATTGGTAAAATACGAAAAACAATACTGCTCTCCTTCCTAAGTGCTTTGAAATGTCCTAGTGAAAAAACCTTACAAAGGCTTCTCAGTACCATTCAAACATTCTCAGACCTCCCCCAATTTACTAAGAGTTATTTTTATATTCTAAAATAATGCATCCAGCTTTTGATTAAAAACATTCTGTGCTGAAAAATGGAGACAGCTGCCTGACAAATCTATACCTGGGAACTGTCAAAAACAGGAATTTATAGAGAGCATTTTCTTCAACTGTACATCTTCACACTGGTAATTTTCTTTTTATTTCTATAAAATAGATGAAGAAGAGATCAGTGTGTTCTGTGGACTTAAGCTCTGGGAGAACCAAAAACAGCGGGCCTGCCAAGTCTCTATCCAAAACTATACTATCTGAAAGAAGAAGTAGACATTTATCTTAATATCTGGGAAATAAAAATGTATGGTTCTCAGCATGATGATTCTCCTCCTGAGAATACAAACCAGAAAAAGAGGAGCCAAATAAGCTGCTCCCTCCCACCTCTGTGAAAGTTTAATAGTTTCTTACTGTTACAAGATTCACAGTTTCACATTCCTGGCTTGTGGTCCCGCAGTGCTAGTTGTGAACTCCCTCTTTGCTTTGCACAGCTGGCAACATCTGGCTTTGTGCCATGAGCTTGGCTAGAACAGGGCCTAAGGGAAGGGTTGCGACTTTTTATAGAATCACAGAATGACTTGGGTTGGAAGGGATCTCAGAGCCCACTCAGCCCCAACTCTGTGCTGTGGGCAGGGCTGCCATCCAGCAGCTCAGCTGCCCAGGGCCCCATCCAACCTGGCCTTGAGCACCTCCAGGGATGGGCCACCACAGCTTCTCTGGGCAGCCCATTCTTTCTCAGGTAGCCTAAATGTGAGGGACCTGGGGAAAAAGTGTCTTTATGGCCCTGGTATGAGAACAGGATATCATGCTTCAGCCCTCTCTGAGTACAAAACTACATACTGGAGCATAAGAACTTGCTGCTTTAAGCTGTTCTGCAGCTCTTGTGGAGTAGCAGCTGGCACTTCAGCAATTCGCCATTACAAAAAAAACCCATAAAACACTCTAAGAAAATAATTGCACATGGCCCCTTGTTTCTGAACTTCTTTAATCTTTCTATGAGATAGAGCAACTATAATTAAATGCAATATTCTGGATGTCAAACTGAAATTCATGGCTTTGATAAATACTTGGCGATTAAGCTATTTATAATATATATAATTTGAAAATCTGGCATTTCATTTTACATAACTATTATTTCAACCCATGCAAGGGCTGCTCTCCACTTGGCTCAGCCTGCTAGAAAGGAAAATTAATAAGGATGTTCAGCTGAAAGTTTAAAACTCTTAAAAAATTCAAATGAACAGAGACAAAGTCTCATTGGGAAGAAAGCAGTGTAAAAATACTCTTACAAGTGAAGTGACTTCATTATCCCCTTTGAAAATGACTTGCTTGCTTTGTGAACAACTCCCACTGCAAATCTTGGAAATCTGACTGAATCTTCTGAGAAAAAGGAACATTTTCTATTTAGTGCAGCAGTTAAAAAGCTCGTACCAGAAGGTCCACCATGTTAGGCTTATTATTTCTCAGTGTCTTCACAGCATGGAATACATCAACAGCCCTCTGATGTTGAAGCATTTCACAAACAATACTGATTGCACAAAACGTCCCACTGCGGCCACCTCCATTCCTGTAAGAAAAGTAAAAAATAAATGGCTTGGTTACAAACTGACTATATTACAAGTTCTTACAGCGCCAGGAATGGCTACAGAAGGTATGAGTTCCACCAGGGAGAAACCAAAGAATACGAATGTGCCGGAAGGCGGCTGAACTCTGAGCTGAGTGCTGTTTTTAATTGGAATTAATGGGCTGAATGATCTCAAACCTATCATCCAACATCCAGGAGGCTGGAAGCCTGAAGGGAACTGAGTGGCTGAGTTTTGTGCCACTCTCTTTAGTGAAGTTTTGAGGCAGCATGAAGGGAATGTTAAAATGAGGACAAGGTACTTTTAGATTGAATTTAATACCCTTTTGCACTATAAACGCACAAGGATGTAATATCAGGCTAGAAACATTATAGAGAAAGAGGATCTTTTAAGGTTTTTTTAATTGCTGATCCTGGCTCCTTCTTCCTGTACCCAAAGGTGTTTCAGAATAACAACAGAAATGGTGTCTAATTTGCTTACAAGCCATTTGGCTGTGCTTTTAGCATGGCCCAAGGTGGGACTGCAATATTCTGGTGACTGATATTCCCGCCCTGCAGCAGCAGACACAGGGACTGGCTGCACTCTAACAGCTGCTTCTGGAAGTGACTGCATTCCTCTTCCACCCACAGCATCAGAGAACAAGAACCCAAAGAGAAACCCAACGAAGATACTGGGCACAAATGCTCATTCGCGTGATCAAATACAGCCTTTAATAATACTTTATGCCTAGTTAATCTTTAGGAGAATCTCTTTCTTGCTGGAAACACTACTATTTCTATAGCTATCCTAATCAGAATATTTAGGCTGCAATTCACCAAAAATAATAAACCTTACTAATTACCAAAGTGTAGCCTAGATAGGTAGCTGGTCTTTCAAACCAGCTTTGCAAATGGTTGATTTTCAAAGGAAACTACAATGTCTCACAACTGTCACATCCCAGCAGTATGAAAAGAATGCTCTCTGCTGCCAAAACATTGCCTGATATTGTAGAACTCTTTGAGAATTTTAATTAAAATAAAGTCATTTAAAAGGATTATATTAGAGCTTTTTCTTTCTTTACTGCCTGGAAGTGACGCATGTGTGATGTTGTACAACTATTTAATATCATCAGCCACCTCAGAGATAACAGTAATTTGCACTTCAAAAGGGTCTTTTCAGCTAAAGATCTCAAAACATTAATTAATCACACTGCACAATGCTCCTTTGATGAAAGTATTATTATCCCCATTCTACAGATGGGGAAACTGAAGAGCAATGACTTGTTCAAGGTCAGTGATAGTAGGAATTATTAATGTACTTTCCTCCATCGTTGTAATATTGATTAACTGCAAACCAAAATTCAGGAAGTTATTGTCTACTCTTGGTTTCCAACTTCTGAAAGCATCTTAGCATATGCTTTTCACATGAACATATCCTTATCCATCATTGTAACATCTTTAAGTAGATCTCCAGAAGGAGAGGGATACAATTTCAGGCATGAATATTTAATCTCAGAAGACCAACCAATGCTGAGAACAAGTAGTATGTACATGTATTAAGCCATATCAAAAGGCAGGATGGTGGATGAGAGCCTGTACCCGTGGAACACAAAGTCACCAGAGGACAAAAATATGTATCATTGTGAAAGAAAGGCAAGACAGTCAAAGGGCCATCATAACTGTTCTACCAGACCATTTTTTCTTCCATGACTTCTGGAAGAGGAATACTTCCCTACAGTATTATTCATTTCTACCGTTAATGAACTGTAGATGGCACTGAATAGAAATAAAAAGTGCATTGTCCTGAAGGTACAGTTTTGATTGTTTTTGACAGTTTTGAACAAATATGCACCTTTTTCATTTGAAAATGTCACTTGAAATCTTTCTATAATATAGAGTTTTACCCATCATCTTTTCACAGGTGTCTACCAAGGGACAGAGTGGGAAACTCATGAATCTACATAAAAAAAAAACATACGATTTCTTGTGTCTTCAGAGCTTTTAAATGAGCAGCTGTATTATTTATTCAGATCCTGTACCTCTTCACCTTCTCATGAATCTTTAAAAACGTGGCACAAATACTAGGATAACAGTATTCTTCTCACTGGTCCCTAGTACTTACAAGCAATGGACAACTGTGCGTCCCTCTCCCCCGTTGTACTCCTCCTGCCACTTCTCCACCTGGCGGATGAGCTTCAAGAACGAGCGTTTGGAAACTGGCGTGTCCCTGTACATGGGCCATCCCAGGAACTGGAACTGCTGCACCATCCGATAGCCGTCCTGGGGCTACAGGCATTCAGGAAATGAGCAGGAAAAGAAGGAACAGCATTGTTTATGGTCTATTCAAATGGTGCGTAACTTAGATATTTGCATCAGCGAGGAAAGTTGTTTGGGCAAATCACCACTGACAAACTACTAATGCAATTTCAATTGCCCGTAAGGAGTTATGACTTTTAATTTCCAACCGAGCTATTAGGACAAGAGGTTTTAAATAGAGGGTATACAAACAGACTAGAAGAGAGCAATGGTACAGCAGCAGGATCAAACAAACAATTAATTAATATCATAGTAGAGAAGTTGCAGTAGAATTATGTAAGCATTTCAGCACTTTGAGAAACATTTGCACTCTTCTGTCTTTTTTACAAGAAAGGTCAAAACCTCTCAAGATAGTTTGAAGCGGAAAAATGTTTTAAAAACCAAATGAAACCCTCAGATTTTTCCTGCTTATAAAAAACAAACTAAATTTTACTTTACTGTGTGCTACTGAAGCAGTCAGAACCCCTCTGGTGAGATGTTACTGAACAGTTGCTTTATGGTGATTTAAAATAAAAAAAGGAGCACAGAACAAGTGTTAGTGGCAGAAAATTACAGTCCTTTGAAAAGGGCATAATAAACACACAGATGAAAACTGGTTTTGTAGTTTAGGATTTGTCATTTTCACTTCTGGCAAAGTGAATGCATTTTAGTACCACTTTGAAAATGAGCAATGTGCAGAAATGTTGATGTTACCAGTTTTGCTCTAGAGTAAGAGGTAATAGAGAGGATGTAAGATTAACAAGGTAAGGGAATAAACCAAGCATTAGATATGTTCTTCAATGGGTTTTTGTCTGCTTTATGTCAAATTTGGACTCCACTACTTTCCTGCCTGGTTTCTTTCAATTGCATGCCCCATCTCCCCAAATGGCATCAGCCAGACCCAGCTTCTGCTACAGCTCCCGTTAACACTCTTGGAGACTGTGGTATTATGTTGCCAAATTTTCTGGGAATGCAAGACCTTTGTCATACAAAAGTAGTACCTTTAAGCTTACAGTCTACTCCCCTGTTTGCATGGGAGCATCCCAGGCAGTGTTCGGGGGGCCTTCCTCTCACTGTTCTGACAGCTACTGGACTCCATGGCAGCTCCTGACTTTTTAACAGAGAGTGTTTCTTACTCCTAGATGTAGTTCTTCAGGGAACAGTACCAGTCCACTGCAAAAGCTCTCTCCATCTGGATGGGAAGAGATGCCTGGTCTGTGGCTGAATCCTTTTTCCGCTCAGCTTTAAATTGATGCCTAATTTAGTCTTCTGTCAACTTTATAGTAGCATAAAAGCTGGATACGAGATCGTACTTGTCCCTGTGAAATGCTTACATCTATTATGAAGTGTGATTAGTGGGATAAGATCTGCACTAAAAGCCTGGGCCTGGTATTGAAAAACATGCCTAGTGTTGCATGATGCAGGATAATAAACATATAAGATGGCTAATTTAAAACTCTTAAATTAAAACTGCACTGATATCACCATTTTGTGGCTACCAGATAACCAAATAAATTGCATTTATTTCATTTGTATTTAATGCACTTGAGATACGCATTACAAGATTTTTCAATTGCACACACAAGACTTTTTTCTCAATGATTACTGTGTGATCCATTATTCGCTCATGCTCTCAACTCTTTCAGGTTGGATATCAGGAAAAAATTCTTCTCAGAAAGAGCAGTGAGGCAGTGGCACAGGCTGCCTGGGGAGGTGGTAGAGTCACCATCCCTGGAGGTGTTCAAACCATGTGGATGTGGCACTGAGGGACGTGGTTAGTGGGCATGGTTGGGATGGATTCATGGTTGTTGGACTGGATGATCTTAGAAGTCTTTCTCAACCTTAATGATTCTATGATTCTACAAATAGGCTGAATAATGAGAATAGCTTTATGTGAGTTTAACTTTTTTTTTTGCGACTGGGATAGAGTCAGCTGAATCACTGAGGCAGAACTGTCTTGTGAGTAAAATCCTTACTCTGGCTGCATTGTAAATTCGGAATATCCGGCTGATGATGTCTTCTTCTAAATCAGCTGATACAAACTCCACCTGAATAGGACCATGTCGGTGTACTCCGTTTTCTGGCCAGTACTGAGGACACAACTACAAATACAAAAAACACATATAATTACTTTTAATTTAATGTTGCCTCAGTATATTTTTTAAGATATATTGTGCTACTTTTATTGCAGACATTCTTACACAGTTTCTATATGAAATATACTGTCCTTCACTATTTTCAAGCTCTGATTTTACCTGAGCAGACCAAATTTCAACAAATGCCTTTTTACTTTGCTGAACATGTTATTGCTTGCTGCTCTGCTTGCCATTTGGAGAAATGTATTTCTGACGCTCAGCATCAATTCTACAATATGGTATGACAAGACAAGGGGATGCTGTCAAATATTAGCAGATCTTGGAGAAAGTACAAAGCCTAACACCAAAGGCCTGGTATCTTCAACTGTCTGAAAAAAGTTGATAATAATTCAAACTACATCAAAATGTGGGCTCTATGCTATAAGTCTCAAAATTCAGGATCTCACTTTCACATCTGTCTCATCTGTGAGTGGCAATATTGGCATTACGTATGTACATATTATATATGTAATAATATGTATATTATTACTTTTGTTCCAAAAGTAATGCTTCCTATTTATTTCCATGGAAATTATAACAGGTACAAAGAGCACAATAACACTATCTGACAGCAAATTCTCAGCTACAAAACATTATTTTTCAACACAATTACCATCATAAGCTTTGCATTTTTGCCAGCGATGAACAAGAGCCTGCATGCCATGCTCATCAAAATCTACACCAGCAGAGGTGACCCACTGTCACTGTTGTCACTGCTGAAATGGACCACTCGACACCTTACTGAGTTCACACCCACTGTGATGTGAGTAGGAGGCATTACTTTCAGAGCAGCCCTCATATATTACAGCAGCATTGTTTTACATTTTCAGCAACTGCTTAATTGCATCTTACGAACACCACTTGGAAACAGTACTTATCCTTTAGTGCTCAGATAACATTACTTCCAGGTATCTAAAGATCACAAAGCAGCATTAGCATTATCCTGCAGTTTTACTGTCTAATAAAACCATTATGGCTCCGTCCTGGAACCCATTATCCTCTCTCTTTTAAAGATTAAAACAACACTTTGCTTGGAGATATTTGAAGCTACACTTTGCTTATCAATTTCTTCCATAAAAACCCTAATGATTTATTTTTAGGGACACCTAGAGTAGTTCAAGCAGACAGCTTTTGCAAGCATTCACCACAATTAAGCATGAACTCATGAAATTTTGTTTGCTTGCAGAACCATTGATCTCATATTTGGAACTTTATTTCATTTGGTAGAACAGCTGTGGTCCTCATTCTGCTGCATTGCTGTTGGTGATCCAGAGCAGAGTTGACAAATCACATCTCCTCCAGATGTTGTTTTGCATTTCTTGTAACACTTATTCCTCAAAAAAGCCATTTGGAGATGACTACATTTTAGGAAAACATAATCATTTACTACATCAATTAAAAAGAGAACAGAGTCTGATTTGCTGGGGTTCACTTTAACAAGTAAAGAACAGAATTTTCAAGTAGGAAAATATATTTTAATTTATTTTAAATCCCCACATGATTCAGTCTGCTGAGCAAATTGCTTTCCAAATATTGCCTAAATCTTACACATTTCTTTTATTATGAAATACACCAGTGTGCAGGATAGCAGAATACAATACTGACATGCATGCAACTAATGCAAATGCCAGCGCTCAGATCACTGAATGTATGCACAATTCAGTATGTGTCTTTCAAATACACAGCAATACTGTTCAAACAGATCTTTGAAAAATGCTTAGATGATAATAAACAGAGCTGTTTGCCAGAGCTGTTTTTGGAAGCCAAGATTTTCAAGTTCTAAAGAAATCCAAAAGCATTTAGGTCTGAGCATTTTGCATGCGTGTGATGCCAGCGACTCTCTTTAAGTCAGAGACACTTTGAAAGGCTGAATTTCATTTCCCAACAGAGTGCAACCATCCAGATGAATTGTAATATCTAAACAGAAATGTAAACACTTCATATATACATAAATAATAATGATAACGGTAATTATTAATAGATCTGAATGTAATGTGTGTTTTTAATAAACTCTGCCCTCTCTCCACTCCTGTTTGCTCTGAGGGTTTTCAGATTTATTCCTAATGAAAAGATTTTTACTCACATTAGAGGGAAAAGGTTTAACATGCTGCAGAGGCAGGTGTATTAACTGCATATCCCAATAGCTTTTAAAAGCCTGTGAGGCTAAAAAATGCTTGAAATAGCTGTGCACTATTGTAAATTCAAAACACAGCCCACAAATTAAAAGAACTCTGTTCACCAGTCCCTTGCAGTCTGACTCCCTTGAGTCCTTCCTTATTCACTCAGAAACTAATCTTAGACTCATGAATAAAAGTTTTGTCTTTCATTTCTATTTTTCTCCCTGTAGACAGTGAAGTCTTTAAAACAGTGTGTGGAATTCCTACACACTACACGTGAAACACCAACCTGATGATTAGTATGTTTTTAAAACAAATTCTTCATGTTAAAATGAAATGAAATATTTTTCAAGGTATGAAAAATATTCAAGAGACCTAAAAGATTCTTGATCATATAAAGAACAAAAATGACAAGCAATCTGCTGTAAAAAAATAAAAATTGATCTTATCTTTTCCAGTAATTAGCAAATATTAAGGATCCAGATTACCACCACTTTATTCCAGCAGAGGGTTGGTGCATTGCATTGAAGACAAGGAAATGATCCCTGTACAAAAACCTGGAATTGCACAATTGCAGGTCAGGCTCTGGGATGCTCAGTGATTAATGCTAGTGATTAAATTGCCAAGTCAGTATGTATGGTTTTCCACTTTTCTAAAGAACATGTACAGCATGCACAACTCTGTTGTAAGGTAATTACATTCATCTGTGTGTTCCTTTGTCCATGCTTAGTGTCTGATATTGTTCAGTTCTTATCTCCTAGCAATGCAATCTTGTGCCAAAGACGACACAGATTTTCAGGCTGGGAACACCCATCCCTGCATGCAGACCAAGGTCACTGACCTGCCCCATGCAAGTCAGTGAGGAGCTGTTGGCTTCTGCTTGTGACTTTTGGCCATGAGCATGCTTCAGACTTGAGTCAAAAATCTACAACCAAAAGGTTTTGGTTTTTAACAGCTCTTCTTAGAGTATGCTTTTCCATCAGAATAAATTATGGTTGCATACACTTATGTGTGTGGGCATTAACATTTTGGTGGAGAAGCTGCTGATGCTCTGATTTATTCCTCCTTCCCTATGTGTATCCGCAAGCTACAAATCAATTTTTTAATGTGTTAGTATTTAATGTTGTTTTATACAACTAATTACATCCTAAAGCTGTTCTGTTCTGAAACACACACGTGCTGCGATGCTGAGACACTGGCATTTCTCTGTGAAATAGAAGCGTTTGGACTTACTTGGGCTGGATCCACATCATTCAGCATAACTATTGAAGTGCAGTGATAATCTAGGACCAGCCTCCAGAAATCTTTGACAGTATTTGGCAAGGGATGCTGCGTAACTATAAAGGCTGATGGTTGCTTGTAGCTCTGCAAAGAAATAAGAAGAGATGGTTAGAGAAGAATGGTAAGAGAAAAAAACTCACTTAGTAGAATGCCAGCAATAGTCTCAAACTTCAGGACTGAAAACATTATTTCTATTTTCCGTATCGTTTATATGCTATTTTCAGCTCTTTTCTGAGATTTTATATGCTTGAAAATTAATAAACTGAATATAACTTCTGGTGATGTTATATTTCTGAAACTTATTTCATGCCTCAGGCATAGGATAAAATCATCTGAGGTTTTCCCTCCAATGCAACTCCTACAAAATTTTGAGCAACAATTTTGTTTTGAGCTGCTAATGGACAGATTAATCTTGGCCACCTGCACTGAGCTGTTGATTTGAATTATTCCTATGGAAGGAAGCATCTACTTATTTTTTCAGAAACAGTGTTCAAATTATGGTCTATCTGACAGAAAGGAAGATATCTAGGGGATACATTTCGACTTTTTTTTTTTTCTTTTTTTTTTTCAGTCAGAGCGAATTGCTAGCGATGCTGTTTGTGAAACAGTTGCATTGTGAATCCTGTACTCGCATTTTCATGTCTGTCCTCCTGAGTGTTACAGGCCAGCGTGGCCATCCTGGGGCAAATGTTGGCAGGGGCTGTCCTTGCCTCCAAAGGAGGGCAGAAAGGCCTCTACACGCCTTCAGTGACCAGACATTGAATAATGAAAACTGTGCTGGCTGGCCCTTTTTCTTGAAGTGAGCTTATTTAAATGTGAGGTGATCCAACTGCATCTCAGCCAGAGGTGCAGTATTCTCACAGAGATTCAGCACCTTGCCTGTGAGACTGAAAGTTCAGAGAGAAGAACAAATGCCTGCTCTTGTCCTTTAGTGAAGGGATACTGCATGTGTTTTGGATGGAAAGTGAGCCTTGGAGCCTTTGGCCCAGATATGCTTTTGGAATCAGCTTGTTGTTTCAAGAATGAAGCATTTTCAAAGTGTTTCAAGAATCGAGTGTTTTCAAAGCAAATACTGAGGCAGTACTTAATTTGCAGAACAAAACCACACTGAACGCTCCACTAAGACCACGTAATGGCAAGATCGTAAATTGCAGATCAAGGAAGCACTATTCTAATATGAGTGCATATAACAGACTTACGGTGAGAACCAAGAGAAGTCACTTAAACTGTTGCCCTCAGTTCCTCTACATAGATCAATAAAAAGATAATACGCTTTTATTTTCACAGGAGAGTTTTGAACTTAGGCTCATTTTAGGAAAACACTGAGAACTTCGAAGGAAAAAAAATGCAACAACTGCTATAAACTGTTGTTACTCTAGCTTCACTTTTCAAAAAGGCCATTTACAATGTATTCATTCTTTTCTAACCTCTGCTTTCATGTTGTTTATGTGTGTGTGACAACCGTAATTACTATAGCTCTAAATTGTCAAAGATGGGCTATAAATATCTACACTCTGAAGGAGGTTTAAGTGTCTTTTTACTGATACTCTATTAGCAGGATTAGAATTACTCGAGATGCATTAGGAAAAAAATGCAAACACGCATGAAGAGGAACCATTCATTCATACAGAAATAAACAGAAAGACTGAAGTAATGGCTTGTGTATTATCTTGTGCTGACAGACAATTCTTTTTTTTTGTTAATTACTTCTTCAATTAGAAACAAAGGGAACTGAAATATTGCTGCAAACTGTATTATCCCATTTAACTGTCTTAGTGTCTTAATAGGTAACTAATTTTTTCCTAGGCCAGATGGTTAAAAATTCAAGCACTAGGGAGAAATCTAGATGCATTTAATTTATCAAAACTCCCTGACTTGCTCTCTAAGTATGGCTTTGGAACCTTGGCTTTGACATAACATATGTGTGATCCTAAATGTACTTGGGAGCTTAAAGATTTTGTGCCATGTTTTTGGAAAACAAGCTAGAAAGATTTCAGCCTTGTGCTGACTCCACTTTCTGGCACTGCTCAGTCTGGAGAGCTCCTTATTCCCTTTTTATTATTAACGATGTGGAGGAGACGACTTACATCCATCAGTGCAGCATTAATGTAGTTGCTGCTCTCCCCATCTATCGTTATGAGGAAAGGCAGGCATCTGTCTGGAGGCAAGACATCCATACAGCGATTCTTTTCATGATTTCGTGGTAAAAGTGCTATACTGCAGTCTTCCACACGCAGCGTCGGAGTCACCATATTTAACGTCTGTTCAAAAAGAGTAAACAACACAACAGAGAAATTAACACAGCAGTGAAAGCATCCCAAAATATTTAAGAATAGATCAAGTCACCAATCAGTTTCAGCAGGAGTCAAAATGAAGACAAATGAGAACAAATCACAGTCAGCGGGGTTTGGAAGCAAGAATCCTGGAAGCAAACATATCTGAAAAACAACCTCAAAGACAAATGCAGACTAACCAGTTTTCTGGAGCAAGGACAGCACAGGGAATTGACATACATCCTTGGAGTGCAAAGAAGATTTTACTACTACCCCATTGTTTTCTCTGTTGATTTAGTATAACTCAATAGCATTTAGTGACAGGTTATACTCTTTTTTTTCAGTCTTTCATTCCCCAGGGCTGGCCCCAGATTCACATGGTTATAAGCCAGCACTTAATTAGAAGCCTTTGTATAGCTGAATTGTATAGCTTCTAGGTATGGCTAACCACAACTTACCCTAAATTCCTCTTTGATCTGGCTGGAGTTAGTTTGAGGATCCAATTTATTCATTTCATAGTAAGCAGACCTAACTTGAGAAGCTGGAATAGAAGTGTCTCCACAAAGACAGGCTTCCAGGATAGCATCATGGATAAATACATACTGTTCCTGGTAAAGCAATAAAAATAATTACTGACAGAGAGTACATACTATTAGTAACTTGGTAAATAAATAATAACGACTAATATGGTTAGCCTATTAGTTCTCACGAGCTTTACACACACTGAAGAAAGAATAGATGGAACAACTGCAGTTCACAAAACTTCATGCCATTCATTTAGAAAAGAATATAGAAGGATTGACTGAAACTAGTTACAATTACAAAAAGAAATACAGTATGTCATAAAACTATGACTGTTCCTGTTTTTCTCATTCCTTTGCATGGTTCTGTTGAAGTTATAGCGTAAGTAAGCTTCAACAAGATGCACTGCAGAATGAATGCTCTCTAAAGAGGAAACACTCAAAAGGTTTTTTTTAATCAAACCATTGCAGCATAACAGTGGCCTTGTTTGGGCAATGGCTCTACAAGCTTCTGTGTGGATTATTTTCCTGCATGTCACTGAATAAACTACCTCCTGGATAGGGCTTATAGCAAAGGGCTCTAGTTTTATGGGCCAGAATAATACTTTTCATTGCAAAGCATAAGGCAGTAAACCAGAAGATTAACAATACCTCTGTCTGCACCATGTTAACTCTCCGAGATCGAAGCTCTCGCACACAATTGTATATGTCTACAACACCTTCTCTTTCTGCCATATCTAGCATGATGTCAATAACGATGAAGCACCCGGTTCTGCCAGCGCCAGCACTGAAGTAAAATTAGAGCACAGTTAATATCCATCAGTTCATTGGAAAATGTAAAGCTCCGGAATCAATTTAGCCAATATTTTGTATGTCAGGTAAAAAGTTATTGTGATCAGAGTGGCTTCACCAACTTTTGGGGATTACATGGGATATGAGAAGCAGAAGTATGTTCTGAGTTCAGTGGACCACACAGCAGAGGGATTTATGTTCTGCCTACCTGCAGTGAACCACCAGAGGTCCAGCGTTTGGCGGGCTCTTGGACTTGACCTGCCGTACAAATCCCAGCAGGCCTGTCGCATGGTATGGCACGCCGTGGTCTGGCCAACCAGTGAAATGAAACTGACGAATTTCTCGAATCTCATGAGCACCTCTCTGTTCAAAAGGCCAGGGTTGAAAACGAAAAACAAGGTGGAATATGACAGAAATTGGACAAGAAACATCATAAGAATGTAGCTCTTAAAAGCTTGAGCTCTGCTGAGAAACATCCACCCCCTGCCAACAATCATATCTGGACAAGACTGCTGGAGACCTTTCTGATAGCTGGAGAGCAAGTTCACAGATCATGTATCAACCGATTTCAAAGCCTTACAAGAATATACAGTGATTTAGCACTCAGTTGTTTTAGAAATGTCTAGCAACAAGATAGAGACTCATCTCCATACATAAGCACTAGGTTGCTTTGATGACTGTAACCCTAAGAAGCAGATCATGATCAACAAACAGGTCAATGGCAAGGCCACGAACATTTAGCACTGATGAATTTGTTCCCCGACTACTTTCCACAGGAGATTTGCTGCTGACTTCCAGGGACTAGAATTTCAGCATAATTTTCCTTATCATTTGTCTCCTTCATTGGTCTGAAAGAAACAGCTGAATAGTAATGAAAGCCTTTTTGCACCTCCTGTTGTAGGGGCTGTATGTGTAGACCTCTGCATGCCTACCCTTTGAGTGATTTACCACAGTCTGCAAGGACATGGATATGGTGAGACAGGTATGAATGAGCCAACCGTATAAATAATTTCCCATGTGAATTTCTGGAGCAGTCTGGATATTAAAGGTGTGTATGCGAAGTATGATTTTCTTAGTGCTTGTATTTCCTCTTCCCCCTCTAAAAATGTAGCTGCCAGTATTTTATTCTCATTAGAAATCTGCACACCAGAGGCCATCATACATATTTCATAAGCAAACAGCAAAATTATGACATATCATCTCCAGGCTGGACTAAATGTCAATGATATTAATAACCTGTGGTTTACACTTTTTCTTCTTAAAGACGTATTTCCTGTCTTGTTCCTGTTTGCATATAAAAGGTGTAATTTTCTTTGTGTAATAAAGTAATATAAACTTCCTAATTTATTGCTAGCATGCAAGCTAAAAGAATCAGGGATTGTTAATGGTTGAGAAATCTTGGCCATGCCAGTGCAACTGGAGTGGAGTGAGCTGTGGTATATCTTGAAGCTCAGACTCAGGTCTGCTCAGGGGAATAACCATTCTCATGGCTCATGGAAACAGTGGCACAGAAAAGCTGGCAAGGAAGAAGATGAAGAGAGTGTGCAGCACTGGTGTACACTGAAGAGATCACATCCTTGCAACAGGATTGGCCTTATATTCCAAAGATCAATTTTGAAACATACTGAAGCTCAGGAGCAAAGTAATTTGTATTTTAAGGTTGTCGAAAAAATGCACTCAAATACAATTTGGTCTTTGTATTCTGAGGACTTTAGTATACGTTAGTTAACAGATTTTTCTTTGCTAATATAGGCATGGTCTCCAAATCTGTAAATAGCTGTGTGTAGGTAGACTATCCATGTCCCAAACGCTTTTATTGCCCATAACAACTGCCCACAATTTCTCAAGAAACAAAGTTTCCATTCCGAAAAGCAGTGCCATCACTACAGAAATCAGGGACCAAAAAGAATACCCTACACACATTCTTCATGATGTAGACAGTCTTGATTTCCAAGTAATTTACAAAATACAAAATGACTCTCCAAAATAATGTGTTGCACAGATAAGAATATGTACCGTGTATCTTCTGCATTAGTTTTGAGAATGCTGTCTGTCATGCTGACTGTATTTCTGTCTGTTGTTGTTGGTAACACTCAACTACTTAGAAAAGATTTTGCATCTGGGGTACTTTTATAATGAGTTTGCTTATTATACCTACACAAAAGAATGATTTTCATGTCTGTAGCTTCCCTGCTGGTTTCAAAACTCAAAATAGCAGCACAACTGCATGAATCATAAAAGCATATGCTCAGATTGGAAAGATCACATTTTTCACTCTTTCAGCTGAAATAAACAGAAAATAGTGTATATGGCTAACAAACCTTAAGATGTTAAAAAATGTAGATCTTAATCCCACAAATACTTATGGTGTTTCTGTATGTTACTATTTGTGTAAATCATCTGTGTTAACTGTTATGCTGTAATTCCAGGAACTGCTTATGTGTACAATATTGGAAAGTGTTCTCCAGCAACAGGGTGTAAATTCTCATTCAATTTTCCCTGTATTATCCCCCCACTTCTCCATAATTACTGAATAGCTATTAAAAAAAACAACAATCAATTTATCTCCAAATTAAGCAACTTCTAGATTTTATTTTAGAAGAAGGTATGAGAATGTTGATCCAAAAATAGGAAAGATGGTAAGAGGGGACCTTTGGAGGTCTCCAGCCTCTTGGCCAGAATAGGCCTTTGGCCAACACTAGAACAGTGGCTTAGTCTAGCTGAGCCCTGCAGACCTCCAAGAATGATGATTTCACAACATTCCCAAGTAAGCTGCATTGCACTACCTTACTCCTGTAGTTAAAAAGAGTTAAAATGTATGGAAAGCAGGGTAAAACCAAATGCACTCTCCTCAAACTACACTGACACTGCTTTCAGAGGCTTACAAAAAAGCTACCAACTATTAAAAAGCAGTGTCTAAATGAAACCTTTTCAGATGGAGATTTTTTTTTTTTTTTTTAAAGAAATAAAATGTTTAGCGTGTTTTAGCTCTATCTGTATTAATGCATTTATTCAAGACAGTTTGGTTATATCAACTGTAAAATCCTCTAGGTCTTTTTTTTTCCAGTCCCAGTTAAGAAGTGAAAAGCTAACATCAAAGCATGGCTTAAAATTTGCAGAATAGAAAGCAATGGGTGCCTCATCTACTTCAAAGTACAGCCACCCTTTCTCATCTGTTTATTAAAAATATCTAAATGCAAGGAAACAACAGACTTGAGCAAATTCAATGCACTATATGTACAATAGTAAACATGATACAATATTTCAGCTCATTCAAACTGCATAATTCTATAATCATTACCCTCAGGTTGCTGTATTGATGCATATTTAAGTATTAGATTGAAGAATAAAACAGGAGAAAAACAAATTCCTTTGTTACTGAGGATGTATGTACAGAGACCCTGATGGGCCATCTTTTTGGTAGTTTCATCTACCTGGCTGCAGGATTCTTTGATGCAAAAAATTAAGTTCTTCAGCACCAATTGAATACTATTTCATTGTTAGAGAGCAGCAGTATATCCCAGGTACTGCAACTAAATCAAAGGCTGTTTTCTAACACAATTAAAGATTACTCATGTAGATACTGAACCAACATTACTTCAATATGCCATTAGGAATATCAAGTCTTCTAAAGGGATCCCTTCCTCTTTGTTCTGCAACTCAAATACGTTTTAATGGATAGAATAAAAACACTTCAGTCCTTTAAAGAAACTCGTGAATAAAAATGTGAATTGACACTAAATGGCAAACACTTCCACATTAAATAACCCTGCTTGTTTTCACTTTCACTAGGTACTCTATTTACAAACTGCATGTTATCCATATGTTATAAGCTGTTTGAGAGAGCTGTAAGATCTAGTGAGCACCAAATCATAGCACTGTTTTGATAAACAGCAATGCAGTGCACTGATTGGAACTCTACATAAGATGGATTCTGCACTAAAAATGAAAATGCTTTGAAAAGACAGATTAGTTTGTTTCAAAAATGTCTCACTGCCGATCAGGAACACACTGGTCCAACAGATTCACAGCCATAGGCTTCTGAATAATGGTGCCTGCAGCCTCTGGTACAGACAGAAAATGATTGCAGTGAGCTTAAGATGGGAAAACAGCACGAATGTTTTTTTCAACTGATTGGTGGGAGGGAGGCTTCGATTTCTCGTGGGCAAGGAACATCACTTTTCTAACTCAGGCAGTGCCTAGGGCTGATGGCCTCTGAAGAAAAACACAACGTACCATAAGAGGGCGCTGGCCGTTTACTCAAAAAATTGCTACAAAAACCTCCACAACAGGACACAAATTTAACTTTCCCTTGCTGAATGTGTTATTTAAGCAGCTACCACCGTACTAAAGAAAAGTGAACGTCGATACTTACCTTTTCTACTGCAAATGTTCGAATCACATATTCAGCGAGGAGCTCTGTTTCTATTAGGGTAACTTTAATGTCTTTATATATCTCTGTGTCATCTGGCCAGTATTTGCAGCACTTAACCTTTAAAAACACAAAAGAAATTAAGGTTCATTTATTTTAGAAGGTTCATGCTGAATGTGTTCTATATTCTTTGCAGTGATTTACATTTTAAAATATGACCATGCGCCAAAGCATCACACTTTCTACACAGAAGTGATTCATATTTAAGGGACAATGGCTCTTTTTTTTTAATACAGCATTTTTGCATTGCAGGTGAGACTTGTGTTGCGATTAGTAAAGTACAGTGAATTCATATAAAGCACAAGAAATATTTATATTGTGCATAACTCAGTTACAGAAACTGCTCACTTCCTACGCTTTCCAACTGGGGGTAAATTGCAGAAGGATAACTAATGTGAAAAGCTTTTTTTTCCATACATTTTTAGGTATTGATCTCCTACCTTCTAAAATGAAAATATGTTTTTCAGATAGGATGGATCTTCTCTACTGTTAGAGAACTATCTGCTTTCTCAGATTAATTTTCCAAAGGAACTACTGTGAGGCCCAATGGCAAAACTCAACACACCAAGTCAAGTGATGAACTTTATTTCTGGGTTTTAACATGTAGATGACCCCAAACGCTATTGACAGGCTCTATATTTTGATGCAGATATTTTATGCAGTTAAGAACTTTCTCCTCCTTCTCATTTGGGTGGACAAGGTGCTGGGTGGGGAAGCTAACACATTGCTGATATATCTGTTGCATTCTGCTCTATCATGGTAATAGCTATTATTGTCATCACTGCACCTGGCCACTGTCCAGTAGTGCAGCACAGGCAAGGAGTAGCATCTGTTACACATCTGCTGCATAGCGTCTTCTCTCTTTCTCTCATTGAAAGAAAAAAATTAAACTGATCTTTCTGTACACGTAAATCTACTGCTTTGCTTAAGTATACACTTAAATTATTTGGGTCAAAAAAAAAAAAAACCAACTTCAAATTTTGAATGGAAAACTGACACACAGAAAAAAACCACATGTAGAAACCTTTGAACTTCGTGACTACTAGAGATTTTTCAAACCTATTTTCATGCCAAAATATTTGGATTACTATCATGTCTAGTCCAGTAAAATTGAATAAAAGGTAAAACTGAAGTATATGCATATAAACACACAGAGGAAACTATAAAGCGTGTCTACAAAATGACTTGTTTATATGAATTCCAGGTTCAGTATATAAAAAATTATGCAGAGATGAACCGTGTCCTGTTAGGCAGGAGAAAAGGCTTTATCACACATTGTTTCCAGTGACTAACCACCCACCACCTAGCACCCTTTCTTAGTGTCTGGACAGAAGATAGATCTTGCTACATTACACTGGCAACATTGAATGGTAACAGTTGAGTAGGTAAAAGTTGAGTAGGACAAGGTGAGTAGTTTCTTTTTTCTGACTTTTTACCAGGATAAAATTTAAATCAGAATAGAACTGAGTGAAGGGATGGAAGAATACAGCACCACATCAGGGCCCTTTTCATCTATAGAGGGTTTAGCCCAACACCCTGCTTGTGAGGTCTGCCTCACTGCCACAAAATTATGCAAGTATCCTAACAGCTTTTTCTTACTGGAAAGCTCCTAGAGAACAGACATGAAGTTCAGACAGCAATAAGCAGGGTTTTGTTTATTCCTCTGTGCTTGTCTTCAGATCTAATAACCCCATTGGTATTGGCTAAGAAAAAAAAAACTTTGTATTTTTCTTCATATTTAATCCTTTGTTCAGCACAGCTGTGAGACAATTTGCAAACACCAGTAAATAGAATTGCTTTCCACATGGAAAATCTTCAAGGTGGGACACAAGAAAAGTCACCATAGTACTCAGCACTCCTGTACCAGAGCACCACTTGGCCCCTTAGAACGCCAAAGGGCAATTCCAGGGTCCCAGTCCCTACGTCTCAGGATTGCTGGCAAGCACATATTCACATCCAGAACACATCCACCAGCTACAAGCAATGAACATCCAGTTCAAAAGCATTAAATGTTGCTGCAAGCAGGTTAGTAGCTACTATGCTATCTGTTGTTGCAGCTACTCGATATCTTTTCAGATCTTATCCTGTTTGGATAGATTTCCAAAAACTCTCTGATAGAAACTAAGCAAAACACACTGAATGCTCATTGTTTTGTCTGTTTTGTTAAAAGACAATTCACACTGTTCAGTTCCCTTAGGCCAGCAAAATGACCTTTTATGGCCACCGCCAGAAACTCTTCCAAATTCCCACCTATGACTAAAGATGATTTCTTGATTCTGCATGAAGAACAAGGCCATTCATGCTGCCTCTGGCTTGAAGTAGCCCAGTGAAAACTGTGTCTCTGGAGCTAATTGTCTTTTCCTGCATGTTCCCTTCTCCTTTCCATAGGTGGAACCTGAACCACACAAACCCAGCCAGCACACGTCTGACGGAAGCAGCTGCTGCCATGATCCTGGTAACGGCACTACTCATCTGCACGTCTCGCTGTTGCTAACTTTAGCCTTGTCTCTCTCTGATGGGTGCCTGCCATCCGCAAAACAGCTCTAGTTTAGCAAAATAAACAATTGGGGAGAAAAAAAAAAAAAAAAAAAAAAAAAAAAAGCCCTGTCTGAATTAAATTGCTCAGCCTTGATGGAAAACATGCCTGTTTCTAACTTGGTAAATCTAGACAGTCTGGATTATGAGTAAGAACTGAAAGACTGATTTAGAAGAGCACAGTAGTCCCTACCTTCTTCTCAAGTGTTGGATTTGCTTCCACCTTTTTTTAAACCTTATTTAAGATGATCCAGTGAGTAATTAGGGAAGTGCTGGGGGATGTTGCACAGAAGTTATAGCCCTCTGTGCCTCGTGCAGCTTGTGCCCACTGGGGACTTTATACTCTGTAGCACAGAGGATGTGGGGCATGGAGTAGATTAGAGCAGAGCAGAAGGATCCATGACAACACAATTTCCTGAAAACTCTCCCAAGTGGAATAGGGGCTGTAACAGCTGTGGGAAAGGTGCCAGAACTGCAGTCATAGCCACAGACCAACAGTAAATGATTCACTCAATGCAAGGAAAAAATAAATCACAACTTTTTTCTTTCTTTCTTTCCTTAAAAAAAAAAAAAAAAAAAAAAAAATTGGCTTTTTAAAATACTTTTGGCTCTTGTTCAGTTATCCTGTTGCACGTGCTGTGCTGTAGACGTGGGAACTCTATGGACTTCTGATGAGCCAAAAGTTCAGTAAATGCTTAAAGATCAGTTTCCTATCTCCTCTAAGGTTCCTCAAGTAAATACGATAGGGTCTTAAAGAAAGAAGTAGAGCAAACAGCGTGAATTAAACTCACACTTATAAATGTTTATTGGACCAAGGCCTTTATTTGTACGGGGAAAGACAATTGCAGAAAAATAGAATATGGTATTTCTCATCAAATATGAGGAACACTGCTGGTAACATATGTTTATTCATTTTTTCTTTTTAGCACAGCTTTAGCTACTGTGTCATTATGAATCTCTTTCCCTTTTTATAAACATTTGATAGATATTTTACAAAAAATCTACCAACAGAAGGTTTAGCTAAATAATTGATATATGAATCCAGAACTGAATATTAAGTGCATTAGATTTTTTTCCACAGTTGCTACCATTACAGTAAATATCGGCCACAAAGTAGAAAACATGATTTTGAAATCTCATCTGAGCAGAACTATAATTGGGAGTTTGTTCAGATACACCCCACATTTATATCTGAACACACTGCCAAAAAATACAGATGTTCATCACACGATGAGATAAAAGGGGTGATTGCCAGAGACATAATGAAAATGCTTTGGTTTAATCTATTCATCCCAAGGTACACCGTCCATTTGTTCCAAATGTTTATTTTACTAATAATTTGAGAAATCTGGAGAATATGATTATCTGCTTTGACCTCTCTCTACCCTCATCTCCCAGCAAAATAGTCCAATGTGAGAAAATAAGAATTAAAAATGAAGGTGGAAACTTGTTCTTGCTATTTCTAAATATAACAAACAATGCAGGCAGTAGACAGATAATGAACACAGATTGTGACTTCCGAAGCTGTATATTTAGCCATTTGGCAATGTGACACATCTAGCTAAAGGCACTATGAAAGCCAGGACAGTAATTCATTTACTTAGAGGTTTGGAATAGAAGGAATATTACAGAATTAATATGTGAGCTGGCTGTGAAAAATACTTTGCAGTTCCTACAGAACAGTTTAAATAACAATGATTATTCAGAGTTTCCAGTTCCCTTTGATTCTGAAATAGTCTTAGCAAAAAGGTGGTATAACTGGCTATGCACTGAAAGGATTGTCATTACTGAAGAGCAGCATTATATATTCTAATTTAAAATTAATCCCAAACTAAGTAATGATGATAAGCCAGACATAAATTTTGAAGTGAAACCTCCAGGGTATAAAATGAAACAGCCAACCGAGCTCACTGGTGAAAACTTTTAACAGGTTTTGCAGATACAGGTAGGATAACATCATATACTTTTATTTGGCTGACTTGAAATAAAGGAACATCCAATAACTGGAAGTATTTTTATTTAAATACTTTTCAAACAAAAGTGTATTGCGATGAAGAACCTTTTATTAGTTATAAACCCACCTTTGACTGAAGATAAAATCCAATTCTTTCTTTTTCATTTTGCTTTAGAGCAAGTCAGTTAATTGATCTATACTTCATTTTACGCTTTTCTAAATGAGGTATGGAAGAGAATTGAGAAATACAACATTTAAAATACTGTTTGGCACCAGCAGATGAATGGGTCTGTGCAAAAGGCAGCCAGAAGTCTTCCTGTGGTTCACAGCTCCCACAGGGTGAGAGCTCTATAGATTTTAATTGCCCAGCCTAACTTCTTTCAGCAATGACACAGAACTGATAACATTCATCACCTTCTGCTGCCCTGTGCTGCCCCAACGCTACTATCTTAGGCTGCCCAATGGATGCACTTTCATTCAGCTTCTGTCCAGAAAAGTTGGCTATCTGGATACTAACTGCTTTCCAACTGAGGGAATAAATGCAATCCCTCATTTGTTCATGAAAACTTAA